GCAGGAGCTGCTTCTGACTAGTGTTGCGTCTCCTCATTCGTTTCCCCTGAAAGTCTGAGTTTCTTAATGACACTAGATCGGAGATTCTTCATGTTTCGAGAAATAACAAAAGTTCTGAGAAGGATGTGCCCACGCATCAAGTTTTATATAAAATCTTTGGGAATTCTTAGATCTTTCTCATGCCCAGACGTGGGGCTGTAGCTCCAGGGTTCCTAAAGTAGTTAGTTGTGTGTGGTGGTGCGAGCCTGCACTCCTGGGGCTTAGGAGGCTGAGGCAGGATGACTCTAGTTCAATGTCAAGATGGGCCTGAGCTGCATGAGACTTTGTCTCTAAATAAGAAAAACCAAAACCAACTTCCTAAACTAGATGAATTCATCAGATAACTTAAAGAAAACAAAATGGATTTTCACAAGACATACATCTGTGTGTCAAAAACCTTACATCTAGTAATTTTTCTCCCTCAGCCTACAGGTTAGCAGGCCTGATGAACGAATGAAGACACTAAAACGGTCAAGTCTGTTTTCCTTTTTAAATAGCCCCTTAGATCAGCATATTTATTTTGTGTGTGCATGTATGTGGGTATGTGTGCCACAAAGCCTGTGTGGACAGTTTGTGGGAATGGTCCATCTCATGGACTGAACTCAGGTTGTCAGACGTGATGGTGCCAGGGGTCTTTGACCCACTGAGCCATCTCAATGGTCCTCTCTTTTTTATTCTTTTAAATTTTTTCAAAGTTTCCCTGTAGCCCCAGCTGGCCTGGAACTTGCTATGTAGACCAGGCTGGCCTTGATCTCATAGATTGGCCTGCCTCAGCCTCCTGAGTACTGGGATTAAAGGTGTGCGCCACCATGCCCGGTGTAATGGCCCTTTCTTTTTTCCATGAGAGTGGTGTGCATACATATCTATGCATGACTGTGTGTGTGTGGGTGCATTTGCAGGCCCACGGTTGATGTCAGGAAATCTTTCTTAAGCTTGTTCTACGTTACTATTTTTCAGGCAGCATCTCTCCATCAAACCCAGAGATGATCAATACGATTAGCCTTGTGGCCAGCTAGCTTCGTGGATCCTGCCTCTGCCCTCAAGGCTAGAATTACAGATGGGCTGCCAGGCCCACCTGCTACTGATGTAGGTTCTAGAGAGCTTGCCTGCATAGCATGTGTGTTAACTATTAGGCCATTCCTCCGCCTATGCATTTATTATTTTATTTCCAAATTCTCTATTGTAATATAGCATTTATTTATGTTTTTATTATTTGGTCTTGAGATAGGGTCTCTCTGTAGCCCCAGCTGACCTGGAACTCCCTACGTAGACCAGGCTAGCCTTGAACTCACAGAGATCCACCTCCATGCCTCCCGAGTGCTGGAACTAAAGGTATGTGCACCACACCTGGCAGCATCTTTTTATATCTTTTTATTTAATACATATGTCGGAGCGGAGACACACGGGAAACATAAACTGCACATGTGGAAAACTCAAGCCTAGATACGCAGGGTGTGGTGGCTTACGCCTGCAATCCAAGCACATGTGAAACTGAGGCCAGCCTGGGCTATGTGGCGTGTCTGAGGTCAGCCTGTGCTACAGAATGAGACCCTGTCTCAAACAAAAAAAGTTCATGCCTAGACAGAGTTCATCCCTCTCAGCACAAGGAGAGCGTGGTGGGGGTGTCGAGGCTCTGGAGCAGAGGCGGAGCCCTGCAAGGCAGACCCAAGACAGCTGAGGGAAGGGGACGGGGGACTGGGACAGACCCTTCAGACCTGAATAAAGTTCACAGCCATGACTCGGAGGCGGGCAGAAGAGTCTCCGGTTCTGGCAAGTAGAAGGGGAACAGCCCTCTCCACACAGTGCGTTGTTTCCACTTTACTCAGCTTGTGCTTGGGAACAAACTGGGTGATTATCATTTTCAGCAACTTCAAGGATGCCAGGAAGACCTGAGGGAAAGAGAAAACCAGATGAGCCACTATGGTCGGACTTCAAGAGGAAGCACAAAGTTCACGACCAGGAACGGCTGTCAACACCACACTGAAAATTACACCTTGTCTGAAGGCGGAAACTGCTTCCAAACACAGCAGCTCACAGCTAGAGGAAACCTGCTCTTATCACTGGGTCAGAAAGCTCAGTGTTCCCTCAGCAGGCAGTGTGGAGCTGCAGCGTGTGCCTGCTTTGTTTACTGTGGTGCTGGGGATGGAACCCTGGGCCCTGCTCAGGCTGGGCCAGCTCACCACTGGGTTGCATACCCAGCCTTCAACTGCTCTTTTAGAATGCTCATTCTAAGGCCCATGCAGAGCTCCCCAGCCCCTCAGGTCTCTGTAGAACAGCAGAGGCCATGCAAGGGCAAGGACGGGCCCAGCAAGGACTGAACCTCACAGTCTACCATGGAGTGCAGGATGCAGCTCCTCCTGTAAAACTCTCCTCCCTGGCCTCACTGCAAGGCGGGGATAGCTGTCCATGACTCACTGAGGTCACGATGTCCTTTATGGCTCTTCTAATGAGGAAGACAGATGCTCTCAGCATGTTTTTTAAATCCTCCTTCGGGGTTCCAACAGGCATCTCCATCAGCTTCTTATACAAAGCCAGAAGCGCGTCTTCTCGGCAGGACCACATCTTGGAATATGCCCCGGCCACCTGCCAGGAAACGGGGTCTTGCTGTGCTTCGGGAGGCAGTGCGTCCTCCACTCCCACGCCCGTCCCAGACTGTGTCATCCTCAACTTTAATTTTCTGGTAAGATGCCCTCTTCTGAGGGTACCGTGTCCTCCATGTAAATACAAGCCAAGTGTGGTGGTGCACACCTTTAGCCCCAGCACTTGGGAGGCAGAGGCAGGAGGCTCTCTGTGAGATGGAGGCCAGCCTGGTCTACATAATAAGTTCTAGGCCCCTGGGGCTACAGGGAGACCCTGTCTCAAAAAATAAACAACAGGGGCTGGAGAGATGGCTCAGTGGTTAAGAGCACTGGCCGCTCTTCCAGAGGACCTGGGTTTGGTTGCCAGCACCCACACAGTGGCTAACAATCCTCTGTAACTCCAATTCCAGGGGAACCAATGCCCTCTTCTGACTTCTGTCAGCACTGCATGACATGAATGCACTTACATACATGCAGGCAATATATTCAGACACATAAAATAAAAATAAATAAACACCAGGCATGGTGGTGTGCACCTTTAATCTCAGCCCTCAGGAGGCAGAGGCAGGTGGATCTCTATGACACTGAGCCACCCTGGTTCACATGGTGACTTCGGGGGGGGGGGGGCTGTGACTAGGGAGACACTGTCAAAAAACAATCAACAAAAAGACCAAAAAATAAATAGGGGCTAGAGAGATGGGTAAGTGGTTAAGAGCACTGGCTACTCTTGCAGAGGACCCGGGTTCAATTCCCAGCACCCAAGTGGCAGCTACAAACCATCCATCACTCCAGTTCCAGAGGATCCAATGCCCTCCTACCTTTGTGGGCACTGCATGACAGACACACATACGTGTCTGCAGGCAATACACTCATAACATAAAATAAAAGTAAAAATATATTTTTAAAACATGTTGAAAAATGAAACAATGGCCCCCCCCCCCCCCGTGCACATGTGTGCATGTGTGAGTAGCTTTGTTTTCCATTTTACCAAGGTTTCTCCTAGGGCGTCGACGGCAGAGCTGGCTTCCCTCAAGGCCTTCTCGGTCAAGGGCTCAGGCTCTCCCGAGATGCCTCCTCTCTGAGCGTCACCGTTGTCTGCCTCCTTCACGTCTGGCTCCACAGGTGCTTCTCCCGGCTGCTTTCGAGTAGCAGGAAGGGGCCGTTCATCGTAGGGCAGGGCCTCCGCCTGTAGGAGCAGAGAGGAGAGCTGGGGGTGGGGCTGCTGGGTGCTGTGCCCAGGCTGCCTCCCACCACAGCTTGCTGGGCCTACTGGGTGGAAGGTCTAAAAGTGGCATCAGGTGAGAATGAGTCCTCCACACGAAGTGTAACTGGAGGAATTAGGGGAGGCTCTCCGTTCCTGTCTAAACTCAGATGTAATTAGATAAAAGCCACAGGAGCGAGGCTCAGACACTGTTCACCACAGCCACTTCAGCTCAGCTGACCCAAAGCACGAACGGGAGGGTCACAGGCTATTACCCCGACAAGTCTGCGCATACTTAGTTCACTGCGTCCAGTGATGCACACCTTCATTGCCAGTGGCCTCAGGCTTAAGCAGGTCTCCACAGAAAAGGAATCCTTAACACACTCCTCTGCGGTGTCCTGTGGCCAGGCAGCTGCCATTTGAGTCCTCACACCTCCCATGCCCAACACACGCCAGGCACAGTTCCTGGTGCCCAAACAGCAGTGATCGGGATGGACTTGCCTGCACGGCCTTCATCCAGTGTACACACAAAGGCACAGACTTAACGGGGAGGGCAAAGCAGGAGCGGTTCTGATAGGGCTCTGAGGCAGCCTGGTGACCAGTCTCCATTGATACTGAGACACGTGAGTGCACACATGGAGATGATGGCATGGAGACCAGGCCACAGGGTGTGGGACACGTGAGTGCACACATGGAGCGCAGGTGGCTCCGTCCTTCTCTCCCTGCATGCTACTCAAGAGCTCTAGACAGAATCAATGGCTGGTCAGCTCAGGGCCTTACTCTGCTGCAGCGGCTGCTTCAGAAACTGACCCACCTGGGATGAACTGAGGACTCCTTAGAACGGGCGTGCTCTCTCAGATGGCACGATGTGCCACTGTGACAGGCACCCCTAGGGCTGACAGGGAATTGAGGGAGTCAAATGATAAGAAATTGGGTGTCTGATGACACAGTTGAGCTTCTCAATCAACCTAATCCTGAGACCCATATGACCTGTTGTGTGCCTGGTTATAACAGTCAATAAAAGGCCAGTTTGACTTAGGTTTTCTGTTGTGACAATCTTCTAACAGGCTTAGTGACCATGGGCACCCCACTGAGATGCCAGGTGGTCAGTTTATGTATTGGGGAACTCATCACTTATTTTGAGTCCGGGTCTCACTATGTAGCCCAGACTGGCTGTGGGCTGGCAGCAGTCCTGCCTCAGCTTCTGGAGTGCTGGGATTCTGGGTGTGTGCCCATACCCAACCCCACATGGGAGTCTACATGTACCCACACCCAGCCCCACATGGGAGTCTACGTGTGCCCACACCCAGCCCCACATGGGAGTCTACGTGTACCCACACGTAGGCATCAGACAAATGCTCTCCTATTCCTTGAAACAGTGCTTGACGACAGATATCCTTTCTTACAAAGAAACCAGAGGCTCAGAAGATGGCTCTGGGAGACCACTGGTGGCAGGTGGACCCAGAGGGCCTGGCAGGCTGGACTGTGGACACCCACTCAAGGGTTATAGTCAATAGGCTTTTGCTTGTGCTCTGCCGTAGCCTGTGTCCTGGCTCCCTCCTGGGTGCAGGAAGCAGGGCTGACCACAGGGCGGGCATGAACCCATGCTCTGAATCAGTAACCAGCACAACCCTGGTCCTCAGTGATGCCTGCCGGGCAACTGTGCACCACTGTGGAGTGGAGTTACTTACGTGGCTCCTTGGTGCAGGGCCTGCGGCAGGCAGGGACTGGTCCACAGCTGAGTGCCGAGGAGATGATGTCAAGGTACGCGCCGAGGGCTTTTCTTGGAGGACAGAGTCCACAAATGTGTCTTCTGCTCCCATCTCCTCTGGTCGAGGGAGTGAGGGCACTGGCTTCCAGTGGTGAGGACTGCTGGGATGTGCGAGGGGCTGGGGGGGCAGAGCAAAAGGCCTCCGCAACTGGAGGGAACGAAGGGCGTTAGACTTCGAGGGCTGTGACCATCTCAGGCCGCCTGTCTCACCCAGGGTGAATGGCTGGAGCAAGGCCATGCTGGGAAAGGAACCTTGGCATGCCAAGAAGTCTTGAAGTAAAGTTTTGGAGAGCAGGACAACCCTCTTGAGTCCCAGGCACACGGCACCTCTGCAGCTGTCCCCACATGGTTACAGCATAGACTACAGAGCAGCCACACAGCCTTAGCACAGCATGGGTGTTTGTGCATGTATCACAAACACATCTGTGCTAAGAAGCACAACAGTGGGTGGGGGCACTTGGGCCAGACTTAGGCAGGCCTGGGCTCAGAACTGGGTCCTGTTCACAGCTGGTCAAGTGATTCTGCACAATGTGAACAGGCTGAACTGACCAGCAGGTATTCTGCCCAGCTTGTTCCCAGGACAGCAGAGTGGGACTCTTACTGGCTTGCTTTCACCTGCCAGGAAGGTGGGCATACCGTCAGTGCATGCCAGCCTGAGACTGGCAGTCAGAAGGGCAGGGCTGGGTGAGAACTGGCAGCCTGCGCTCACCGTCAAGCCTGCACTCCCTCACCTGCCACGGGGCCATCACCTGCCCGTGTAAACTGCAAAGACAGAGACAGAGTGCCCTGCTGGAAACTTGTCTCCACCCCAAGACTATTCCAGGAAGTCCCACACCTGTAGGCATGTAGGGCAGGTGTCATGCCTCATACACAGAGAGGGGGCCAAGAGGTCCTGGTAAGTGGCAGTGCCCTGGCCTTCCTGACTCTGCAATACTCCTCCTCCTCTACTGTGAACTGTGAAGGTCCTAGCACCGCAGAAAGCAGCCGGCCACACACAGTGCTGACACCTGATACACCTGCAAAGCTCGAGCCCAACTTCTGAGCGGGGACTCAGTCTCTCCCACCTGCCCCCGACCGCGGTACATTCTGACCTCCAGCTCGCCCTGCAGGAGGCCGTGCAGTTCCAGCTGCTCATACACCTGGGCACGGTAGCGTGCCATCTGCTGCTTCTTCTCCTTGGCCAGGTCATAGTCTTCCTTTTCCACTGCACAACGCTTCTCCACCTCGTAGCGCCCTAGGCGCTCGCCGACCTGGAGCACAGAGGGGGCATTTGCTCTCATCAAATTCGATGACTCTTCAAGTGTCAAGATAACGGCTGGAGTGGAGCCCTAGTGACAGGTGAGTGACTGTGTGTGTCCTGTGCAGGGAAGGACAAATGTGGGAGGAAGAGGCCTGTGCTGTGTGCTGTCTCAGCGCCTGGGTATTCAGGAGCTCCACACAGGCAGAGACAGCCCAATCCAAGGAGCAGCGACACCTCGCCTCGTACTGTCGTCATCACCTCCAAGGTGCTCACCTGTCCTCAGCTCTACCTGGCAGAGCCCTCTGACCCCAAGCCTGTTCCACAGCCTCTAGGAACTGAACCCTCCACAGGGATGGCAGTGGCAGGAACCATCCCAGGTGAGGACAGGGAGGTACCTTCTGCAAGTCCGCGATGGCCTGCTTCAGCTTCTTGGCGTGGTCGTAGCGCTCCTTCTGGACAGCTTCCCGCTTTTTTTCATCCAGCCTGCGGATGATCTGGGCTACTTCAGGGTCTTGGTACATGTCGAATGCCAAGTCATCAAGTGGAGAGATATAGTCAGATCTCCTAAGGAGAGGACCCCTTCAGGTCAGGAGAGCCCTTAGAACTCATGCCGAATGAACTGGTGAGGAAAGTCCCTTCACATAAGGGAGGCTCGGAGAGGCCGGTCAGCCTGCAGGCCATGGGTTTTCAAGTGGGAGTGACCCTGCTCCGACACTTGGCTGAGCTGCACCTCAGGCCGGGCCTTGGGTATACTTATTTATCCACTTACTCCCTCAGGTGACTGCCCACCAAGAGCAGACTCTAGGCCAGACAAGGCTGCAGGCACTGGGGGCACTGCACGTGAGCCAGGCGCCGATGGGAAACCAAAGGAATGGAGTGAATGGCTGGCCAGGCCTGAGCCCCAACAATCAAGAGTGTGATTTGGGGCCATGGTGGAGTTCAGGCACCTGGATTTATAATGACATGTCAGTAATTTAGATTAACACTAAAGGATTATAATCACCACCATTGGGCTTTTGTCTCAAAACATTAGTAAATGATCTCAACCATAAAGTCCCATAGAAGACAAGAAAAATCTACCTTTTCAGTTACCTGAACTGCCTATGTCTGATTATTACCTCTACTCCCCTTAATTCTATAGTATGGCAATCACAGACTCTGTTCCAGGGATACCCAGTGCAGCATTAATGTCTAAACACCCCACAGAGACTCAGAGGACAAGTTTTAGTCTCACATCTGCTGTGTCAGCTGCAGGGGGTGAACCAGCCACGAGCTGTGGCTTGTGTATTTTACGTACAGATAATGTTTAGTTAAATATTATTTGTCATGAAGAATTTAGTAGCAAGACTATAAATGAGCTCAGATGGGACTCAGGAATACCGCACATTATGCATCTGCTTCTTTCTATGACTTCCCCAGGCCTTGAATAGGGCGCTGGGCTGGTAGCTTGTGACTGGGATAGTGACATGGCTCTGAATATCCCTCCCATCCCTTCTTGTAGGGCTGACAAAGCAGTTCTGTGTGTGGCTTCTACGACGCAGGTTGGCTATCTCTAGCCAATTGCACATGATAATGTAAGTCAAAGTCGCTTTGCCACTGATGTCCCCCAAATGAATAATGAATACAAAGACTTCATTTGTAAAAATCTCTCTCACACACACAAACCAAGTCCCATGGTACCCTAGTCAGAATTCCTGGGATGGGATCTCAGTAGCAGCATGGGGGGAGTGCACATCTCCACTTGGGCAGGACCTCAAGGGCCAAAGGCCAAAGACAGAACCTCCCAACAATGAATGCCAGTGTGGGGCACTCGCACAGGCTTCTCATAGGCCCCTCCCTCTGTCTTCACAGAACTCCAGGGGCCCCACCATCGGGGTGGAGGTGGAAGTCCTTTGGAGCTGTATGCCCTGAGCATGCCACTTGGTTCGCTCTGTTCTACAGGCTCAGACCTGAGGGAGGACAGAAACCACGGTGCGGCCACTGGGAAGGAGCTGACCAGTAGTGATAGAGTCGTCTGCTCAGGTTCCTCAAGTGTTCAGAATGGCCGTCACCAGAGGTAAGGGTACCCTTGGCTCTCCAGCAGGCCCAGTGCCCTGAGAAACAGCTGGACATGGTGGACAACTGCACAGCTGTTCCTATGCAGCCTAAGAAGTGCTTCCTGACAGGAACCATCACTAACACTGGAACACACACAACAGGGGTGTCTCCAAAGGGCAGCTGTGTAGGTGGGCCTACACAATGGCCTTGACCTTAAAATGGATGCCAGTCTGACCAGTGGCTTATCAGCTCTAAATGAACCTGGACTTGCCCAAACCCAGAATTCCTTGGAAATGATTTAAGCCTTTGGTAATTCTAAGGAGATATGGAAGCATCTTTTGGGGGAGGGGGCAAGGCGGGGAGGGGTCATCTTACCCAGCGTAAGTTCCTTCTAGGGCTGGGTCCTCGGGATTGTGGGGACTGTGCCCAAGGTAATGGTCAATCAGCTTCTCTCTAGAGGTCTTTTGGAACAAAACACCTTCTTAGAATCTCAGCAAAGAAGGAACAAAACAAAATCTCGACTTTATGATTATTTGATAGAAAACTGTGAGCAAGGCATAGCAATCCTAGTTTTTCAGAGAAGAGCTAAAATTCTTGAGTACCAGAAAGTAAAAGCTGCTAAAATCATCTGACAGTCATTGATTAGTTTTATAAGGTTTTACAGTGATACAGTTTGTGACAAAATAAGTGATTCCCTCCCACAGAAAAACCATCTTCCTTAGGAATGAATCTTCCCAAACTTACAAAATTGTTTTCATCACCGAAATCTGCAGGGTCTCCAATGATATTTATAGCAACCAAAGAAACCTAAGAAATAGTTAAAGCAACAGAAATGAAGTATAATATGTTTGAGATGCCTTAAAACCTTTAACAAAGCCAGCCCTGTAGTGTTATCATGTAGGATGCTGTCTGTCCAAGCGCAGGCTGTAAAGTGCTATACATCACATAAAGAACTATTAGGGGTTTTGGGGTTTTTTTTAAGTCTTTTTGAGACAGGGTCTCCCTGTAGCCTCAGCTGGCCTGGAACTTACTGTGTAGACCAGGCTGGCCTTGAACTCACAGAGATCCACCTGCTGCTGCCTCCCAAATGCTGGGGTTAAAGGCGTACGCCACCACGCCATTTTGTTGTTTTGAGACAAGGTTTAATGAGGCAGCCCCAGCTGGCCTGGAATTCATTGTGTGGTCCAGGCTGCCTTGAACTCACAGGGATTCACCTGCCTCTGCCTCCTGAGTACTGGGATTGATGATGTCCCCCAGTACTGGCAAAAACTGTTAGGTTTTAAACAAACACATAAACTAATGTTCTAATGCTAAACGCTAATCTCCAATTTTAACTTAGTTTCCTGATGAGCCCTGCACTCATGGCCAACTGTGGAGCTCCACAGCCACGGCTCAGTGGTTAACACAACTCAGTTAACCCAGATGGAAGAGCCGTGCTCCTCTTCTCTCCCCCATCATGTCAGCCTGCGTTTCTGGCTCATCCTTACTGGCAGACACATGCAGATGGGGTGGAAGAAGGAGAGGTTAGGATTCCTACTACTTCCTGTGAGGTGATGTGCTGGGAGCACTCTCCCTTCACGGCCCGATACAGAAAGCTGACATACTGGCATGAGTTGATTCCTCTTGGCGAGGCAGGAAGGGGTGTAAATGTTTGTGCAAATGAGTGTTGTACACACCTGATTTACTTTCCTAGGGTGGGGAAGGGTACTATGGATTGAACCCCAGCTTTGAGCACGACAGGCAACTCTACCCCTGAGCTATATACCAGCTCTGAGTTCCGATTCAAGATGGGATGGGCAGGAGAGTGAAGAAGCGTGAGCTGCCAGGCGTGGTGGCGCATGCCTTTAATCCCAGCTCTCAGGAGGCAGAGGCAGGTGAATCTCTATGAGTTCAGGGCCAGCCTGGTCTACATAGTAAGTTCTAGGCCATCTGGGGCTACAGGGAGACCCTGTCTCAAAAAAAGAAGCACGAACTGGGGAGGGGGGAATGCTGCTGGCAAGCTGGCTTGATTGGCCCCCCAACAACCCAGAGAGTTCCCCTGCTGCCAATGCAGCAACTACAGTTACACAGGATCTGTGTTCTAGTACATTAAAAAAGGACAGAAATGGTGACTTTAGCCAACAGTGTCCCGCCACTGCATGCACCAACACAAAAGCTTTCAAGAAGTCCTTGTACTCTTTTCATCCTGAGTCTTGGTGGTGGCCACAGTGGCTCTTGTGTGCCAGAGCTGCGTGCCCCATATCCAAGCGCCCAGAGCTGCGTGCCCCATATCCAAGCGCCCAGAGCTGCGTGCCCCATATCCAAGCGCCCAGAGCCTACGTGTGGGAGAGGCTGGCTTCACACAGCAGCAGTTACCCACAAAGACTGTTCTAGTGGGAACACCACGACTACTCATGAGAGAAAAGTCAGCCAAGCATGTTTGCTCACAGGGGCGGGTGGGGGAGGGGGTATGGTGTTAGAGCCAATTTGTTCTTCTTTTTTTTTTTTTTTTTTTAAATACCTTATTTAATATTTTATTATTTTACGTGTATGAGTGTATTGCCTGCATGTATGAGTGCACCCGCGTCATGCAATGCCTCGGAGGTCAGAAGAGGGCTTCGGATTCCCCTGGAACCGGAGTTAAGGACAGTTTGTGGCCGCCATGTGGGTGCTGGGAATCAAACCTGGGTCCTCTGCAAGAGCAGTCAGTGCTCTTAACCGCTGAGCCATCTCTTCAGCCCCTAGAGCTGATTCTTGAGTGCATTCAATCTTTTTTTTCTAATTTTAATTTTATGTATATGAGTGTTTTGCCTGCATGTATCTAAGTGCACCATGTGTGTGCAGTGGCCATGAAGGTCAGAAGAGAGTGTCGGATCCCCTGGAACTGGAGTTACAGATGGTTGTCAGCTGCCGTGTGGGTGCCGGGCACTGAACCTGGGTCTCTGCAATAGCAGCCAGGGCTCTAGCCACTGAGCCACCTCTCCAGCCCATCTTACCTGGTTATATATGTTGTACTTGTTGGCATGGTTTTGGTGAAAAATGAGTTTAAGAAACTGCCCCACTGCGTCCACGTAGACAGACTTGAGTTCCCGGGCTTTGCAGCCTGTCTTTTCGTTGTCACAGAGAGAGACATAACTGAAAGGGAGAACAGGGCTGCAGCGCGTGCGCTGGCCATGGCCGACCCCACGCTGCTCAATCCAACACATGCAACAAAAACCTCAGCCTGGGATGAACCGGGAATTGTTCAAGGTCAAAGTCTGACCCGTGTTCTCGAGGAGTGCGCCACCTGAGCCGCAGTCGCTGCTAGACTCGCAGACAATACCGCTTACTAAACGTGACAGGTCTGAGGCAGGTGTTACGAACACCGTATAGGACCCAAAGGAGCGATCCCTTGTTCCCGAGGGCTGAGGAAGATACCACTGGGCTGAGCGTTGCTGTGTCATTCTTACCCCAGTCTGCGGAAGCGCTCTGCTTGGTACGGCATGAAATACTCTGGCAAACTTTCGCTAATGTAGAACTCGATCTTACTGGAAATCATGTACTGGTGAGCGAGGAGCTGCAGCTTCCGTATCCGACACCTCTCCACCATCTGGAGAACTATTTCTTGTGGAAACTGGCAGAATCTGAAAGGAAAACCACTGTGGTCTTCTGAGCAATGACTGCAGACTTCCTGCCCCCTCTGCTTTGAATGGGAGGGGGACGGTGCGGGGGGGGGTAGATGGTGCGGGGGGGGGGGGGTGTGTGGCCTGGAGGTCCCACCCAGGAGGTGGTGTGGCTCCCTCACTGCTACTGTTCTCTTCAGGGGTGGAACTGAGGACTGGACCTAAGGCTGATTGTTCCTTCTGGCCACCTGCAAACCCCACCTTGGGCAGCTAGGCCAATGGTTGAAGTGGAACTTCAACTTTACTCAGAGACAGACAAATCAGTCCTCCGGGGCTATACCGGTAAGTGGGCAAGGCAGAGCCAACTCTTCTGTGTGGAAGGATAGCACCTGTTCACAGGACGCCAAGGTGTCACACCCAGAAGGTGACCGCTGAGCATGCTCAGTGCTTGGGGAAGGCATGCTCTGGTGTCATTCAGAAGTCACACAATGCAAGAACACCAAGCGAGACTTGGCCAGGATAGCACTTTTGTCAGCAAGCGGCCCGTGACGCGCAGCATGGTCACGACCTAGCAGCAGAGTATGATGCTGACGCGACAGTGCTGACATGTATAGAGTGGCAGACAGCGTGGGCATGTGGAAGCAGGGAGGGGGCAGGACGGGGGCCGTTGGGAAAGGCCCTTCCCTCCACACAGATCACCATGATTGTGCTTTGTGACCCTTGGGTGTGTGCTGCCATGGTTGGTCAGGACTCTCTTAACCACATCCTACCCAGAAAACCCATGCTGGGGTGAGGTTCCTTTGGGGCTCTTCCACAGAGTGGAGCTGCGCACTGCAACCCTGACACCCTCCTGCACCTAGAAGGGACACAGCTAGCCTGGGCATCAACCACGAGGCTCTGAAGCAAGGGATCCACACCATGTGACGTCGGGGCTGCAACTCCCAGGCTTTCCCAGCATTACATCAAAATTGCTGAGGTTGTAGGGAGACAGCGAGGAACACTGGGAAATGACTCGGTTTTGAGAGACACTTGGCCTCGCTCACTGCTCCTCACTGGCTTCACACACCTTTGACCCACACTACTAATGAAGGGTCTTGTGTTCTGGTTTGTAGCGAGACCATTCTAAGCACAAAGACAATCTGTCATCTAGTACTTGTCAAAGAGAAGTTCTGCATCTTGGACTGAACTTCCTGCAGCGCTGACCAAATGATCGCACTTCAGTGCCGGTGGAGGCCGCAGATTTGCAGATCCAAAGCCTAGTCAGTTTATCTTGGGCCATTTTTAGCCCTAAATAGTCACTCCTTGCCCACCTCTTTTCTGACTTAACATCTTAGATTAAAAAACCTTTAGGAGCAGATCTTGTGAGTTCAAAGCCAGCCTGGTCTACACAGTGAGCTCCATCCAGGCCAGCTGAGGCTACAGGGAGACCCTGTTTCTAAAAAGACCAAAAAACAAAACAAAACAAAAAACACGAAAACCCCTTTAGGATGTATTAACAAAGCCCTGGCTCCCACCAACCAAAGGCTAAGAATGCCATCAGCTGCAACTGAGGCCCACAGCTGAGATCTCTCTTACACTGTATCCACCTCCTTACTGTGTCCACCAATGTATTCGAAGTGTCTTCATTTATGACTTTCCTTTGTTCTGTTACTATAAAAACTTCATGAAACTGCTTCCACACTGGAACATGGAATTTGGGGTAATCTGAATCTGTGTTCCTAAGCCATGGTCACTCATATTTGGATCTAGAATAAACTATCTCTTATCCCATTTAAGGTAAGAGTTGTGCTTTTGCATCGACATACTAAAAAAAAACAACAAAACTTTAATGTTAAAAAGTCCATACGGGCTGGAGAGATGGCTCAGCAGTTAAGAACACTGGCTCTTCTTGCAGAAAACCCAGGTTTGAATCCCAGTACCTACACAGCAGCTAACAACTGTCTGTAACTCCAGTTCCAGGAGATCCAACGCCCTCTTCTGTTCTCCAAGGGCACTGCATGACATGGGTGCACTTATATACATGCAGGTGTAACACTCATACACATAAAATAAAAATAAATACATAAAATTTAAAAAAAAAAAAACTTCACACTTCTTAGAGAAAGCTAAGACAACCAACAGGACTTTGATTAAAAAAAAAAAAATCTTTCAAAGAAAGGGATTGGGATTTGAACCTCGGCCCTCAAGGGCAGCTAACAAACAGTTCCTAGAGAAATCAAATACCTTTGGGCTTTCTGTAAAAGGCCTGCATGTGTCTACCCTTAAAAGATATAAGCTTCTTTTTTGTTTTGAAGTGCTAGGGTAAGGGCCTTGCACACCTCAGGGTAAGCTCTCTCCCACTGAGTTACACTCCAAGCCTCTGGTCCTTGTAAGACACACTGGCAGGGACAGATGGCTTTGATAAAATAATCTGGAGGGCTGGAGAGATGGCTTAGCAGTTAAGAGCACTGGCTCTTCTTCAAGAGGACCCAGGTTCTATTCCCAGCACTCACATGGCAGCTAACAACCCTCTGTAACTCTAGTTCCAGGGGGATCTGATGCCCTCTTCTGGCCTCCACAGGTACTAGGCATGCACATAATGCCCCCAATGAAGCTCAAATGTGCTTTTGGTATATGTGAATGGGGCTTGATTAAGGTATCGGCAGATATGCTAGAGTTAAAATGGGGTCCTATGAAGTGGGGTCCAATAGGGCTGGTGTCTTTTTTTTTTCTCTTTTTGGTCTTTTTGAGACAGGGTCTCCCTGTAGCCCCAGCTGTCCTGGAACTCACTATGTAGACCAGGCTGGCCTTGAGCTCACAGAGATCCGCCTGCCTCTGCCTCCCGAGTGCTGGGATTAAAGGTATGTGCTATCATGCCCAGCAAGGGCTGGTATCTTTCCAAAAAGAGGAAAAGGGTCTGGAGGTATTCCTCAGAGGTATAGTGTTTGTCCAGTATACAGAAGGCCAGGCCTGGGTTTAATCTCTAGAACCACAGACACAATGTAGGCAAATACTCATATATACAAAATAAAAATAGGGGTTGGGGATTTAGCTCAGTGGTAGAGTGCTTGCCTAGCAAGTGCAAGGCCCTGGGTTCAGTCCTCAGTTCTGAAAAGACAAAACAAAACCAAACCCTAAAGAGAGAGAGAGAGAGAGAGCGAGAGAGCGAGAGAGCGAGAGAGAGAGCGCATAAAATAAATGGTATTTTTTGGTCCTTTTGAGAAAGGGTCTCTCCATAGCCCCAGCTGGCCTGGAACTCACTATGTAGACCAGGCTGGCCTTGAACTAACAGATGATCCGCCTGTCTTTGCCTCCCAAGTGCCACCAGGCCCGGCTAAAAATAAATAAATCTTTAAAAAATTCTTTACCTGCTGGACTTGGTGGTGCATGCCTTTAATCCCAGCACTCGGGAGGCAGAGGCAGGCAGATCTCTGTGAGTTCAAGGCCAGCCTGGTCTACATAGTGAGTTCCAGGACAGCTGGGGCTAGAGGGAGACCCTGTCTCAAAAAGACCGAAAAAAAAAAAAGCTTTACCTTTAACCTTCAAGGAATGAACGGTAGGACAGGAGCAGCTAGTGAGGAAGCCCTCTGCCCTGGGAATGCCCACGGGAGGGAGTGAAAGCACCATCCTTTCCAGACAGAGGGAGGCAGGAGACCACTGAAATGGGGAGCTTGGGGTTGGGGAGACTGGGGGTGGCTGGGGGCAGGGGTCTGATCTTGCCAGGAGCACATGGACTGGTAGGTGGTGGGGAGACGCTCACCACCAACAGCCCTGGCACCATGAGGAAGTGCTGTTCCATCACCCCGTGTGGTTTACCCCCTCCACCCCCAGCTCAGGCTGGAAGGGAAGGAGGTCCTGTCTGTTGGGTCCCCCTGGACACTCCAAAAGGAAACAATCGCTTCAATTTCAGATGTGATTCACATTTAGCTCTTATGGAGACGCAACAACATGGCCGATCAGAAGTGTGCTGCAGATTTACAGGTCCATGAGAGGAATAAAATTCAAGGACACGCACTCTTTGGACCCTCATATCTCCCAGTTCGTCCCTCAGTGCAGCCTTACCTTGGTGACCTCCACCCACTGACAGTCGGTGCGTGGATCATTAGTTCCCGGGCACTGAAGCCATCTTCATGTCCAGAAGAGCTGACCACTACAAATCCAACCTTGTGGGGCATTCTGTGCTCTTGGGCTGTTTAGAAGAGCTGAGAAAACTTCTGGGAAGACATTCACCAAGGGAAGATGTAGGGTTAGCTCAGGTCTCGCTAATATACGAAGTAATTCACAAAGTACTCAGAATTTCCCATCACTTTGAAAAGACTACTTTTTCTAGACTTTTCAAACACCTTTTTTTTTCAAAGACAGGGTCTCCCTTGTAGGCCCAGCTGCCTGGAACTCATTACATAGACCAGGCTGGCCTTGATCTCACAGAGATCCGCCTGCCTTTGCCACCCAAGTGCCAGTGCTGGGATTAAGGCACCACCAGGCTTGGAGATTACCAAACACTTTTTACAGACATTCTACTTAAAGTACCATTTAAACCATCTTGATTTCCCCCAAATATTTGTTCAAAAGTCTGACTTGTGTTGCAGATAGAATTATGTCCCCTAATGAAGCTCAAATTCAGCTTTTGGTACATGTGAATATGGCCTGATTGGGGTCTTTGCAGATATGACATAGTTAAAATGGGGTCCGGTGCGGGGGATCCAATAAGGCTGGTATATTTTTTAAAAAAGGAAAAGGGTCTGGAGGTACCTCAGAGGTATAGTGTTTGCCTAGCATACAAAGGCCGGGCCTGGGTTTAATCTCCAGAACCACACACACACACACACACACACACACACACACACACACACACAGAGTCATGGACTGAAAAAGACAGAGACTGGAGATATTCAAGGAAGGCTAAGGATGGCTGGAGGGAGCTAGGGGAGGCAGGGCCCAGCCCTGAGACCTCCACCACCTCCTTGATGCTAGCGCTCTAGCTCTGAAATAAAGTTCTGTTGCGTAAACCAACCGGTCTTTGTCAGTTTTTGGTAAGCTACGAAATGTCTTTTAACACTGGCTAAGAAATGAGCAAGTAGTAATCAATACCTTGGGAGTGAGAGCCTAACTTTTAGTGTGACGGCAATCTCCACGGGAAAATGTGCACCAGGAGTGTTCTAGTTCGTTCTTCACTGCTGTGACAAAACACTCTGACCACTACCAACTTGGGGAGGAAAGGGTTTATTCAGCTTACATCTCCTGGGTCACAGTTCATCAGGGAGCCCAAGGTAGGAACTCAGGGCAAGAACCTGGAGGCAGGAGCTGGAGCACAGGCCATGGAGGAATGCTGCTTACTGGCTTGTTTCCCTTGCCCCTGCTCAGCCTGCTTTCTTATGCCACACAAGGCCACCTGCCCAGGGGTGGCACCACCCACAGTGGGCTGGGCCCTCCCACAACACTCAACAATTAAGAAGGTGCCCCATGGACATGGTCACAGGCCAGTCCAATGAAGGCAATTCCCCAATTGAGGCTCCCTCTACCCAGGTGTGTCAAGTTGACACTAAAGCATCCAGTACAATGAGGAAAGCAGGACCCACAGGTGCTGAGACCTGACTCGGGGTATTTTAAAGTACAAAGAACAACATGGACCGAGATCACTTGCTGGCTCCGAGGTACTGATAGGATATGAAAATCCACCCAGATGCCCAGTAGGTTGGGGTACCTTCCTCACACCCTCCACATCAGCACAAGCACTTCTCAGTGTCTCTGCTGAACCTAGAAGGGCCCTTTCCGGAGGTGGGAGAGGAGGGAGAGGAGACAGGAGGCACCCCTCAGAGTCCTAGGTGAGGAATGGTTACATGGACTCCAACAAAGTCTTCTCAGCAGCCAAGTGGAGGGAGAACACGGAGAGACTTAAGTGTGCACGTTTTCTCGTCATGTGCACCAAACATCCAAGTCAGAAAATGCTCTTAGTTACATGCCAGGGCTTGGGCTCAGTCCTTGGCACAGGAAAAAAAACACTTTGGAATGAATGATTCTTTCAATGCTGTGATTTTTCAGTGAACAACTTGGATTCCAGCTCACTGCTGTCACTGAACATGGCTGCTATAATGTCAACTTTGCTGTGTGGCACCCATGATGGAAATCAACACCCAGTGTGAGCTCTCCTCTGGGGACTCTGCCCTTGCTGGGGCCCACTGGTACAGTCTTCACCCATCTGTGCTGGGTATTTTCCTCTGATAATCCATGAATTCCACATTCCTCCACAGTGAGGTCTCACGGACACCAGAATGTGGCCCAGAGGGGACTGATGACAGTCCCAAAACTGTCTTGTGACCACAAAGAAGAAGCTTTCTTCCCAGAGACTCCTACCATTAGAGTCCAGGGCTGCCGAGACACCAGGTGGGGCTAGCTAATCCAGGGCAGCACGATTGACCTGTGACTCAGACACAGCCATTCTGGGAACCCACACTGTTCATGCTGTCCAGGTCACTTTTCAGTTACCAAGCCTATCAAACAGCCACCAAGGAGGCCAAATGGGACAAGATGACTCCAGGAGAAATTCCTCTAGAGGAGATACTGAGGGGTCTGTGAAATAGTGTTCCTATTGACCTCAGACATATGCTTGGTAAATTTAGCCAAACTGTGGACATGTATGCCAGGAGAGCCTTGTCTCATGAGAAAGTTCACGCAGGAACTTCATGCCTGCTGAGGAGTTGGTCTGGAATGCTGCTGCTCCCCTAGTTTCTCAGGAGACACCTTTATCTCTCAAGGTATGTTTTGGTGGTACTGTTACCCTGGTCATTATAGTTTAGTAAACCGCTATATTCCAGCCTCTGTATTATTATCTACTGTTCTGTAAGCATTCAACTGCAGCTCTGATGAGCATGAGAATGAAAACTGAGCTGCGTGTGCTTCTGGCACTCGTGTGCGGATGAAGGAGTAGGAGTAAGAAATAAAACCACGTGTCCCCTGGTCTTTCCTCAGTTCTGTGCAATCCATTCAGGACACCAATGACTCTCTCTTTCAGAGCTAACATGTGAAGATCACATCCCGCAGGAAACGTGGCTCTTCCGAACGTGTGCTTGATGCGTAGACGAGATCTTTTCTTACTTTCACTGGGAATTGAGGAGGACCACTTTAAAGCGGCCAACGACTGGCTGGCACTTGCTGTTTCTTGGGTTGTAGGAACAGAAGCATTAAAAATACAATGTAGGGGGCTGGAGAGATGGCTCAGCGGTTAAGAGCACTGGCTGCTCTTGCAGAGGACCCGGGTTGGATTCCCACCTGGCTATCAATCGTTTATAACTCCAGTTCCAGGGGATCTATGCCCTCTTCTGGCCTCCATGGACAGTGCACGACACGGGTGCACTCACACACATGCAGGCAATACACTCATACACATAAAATAAAAAAAGAACTTAAGACACTATCAAAGATCCTACACGAAGCTCTCTGTGGAGGACAGTGAAGGACTTAACCCAGAAAATAACGAAGAGCAGTACAAAATCACAGCTGAGTGATCTGATGCACCTTGTCCTCACAGCTCCACCTGCACTCCCGGCCTGGGCCAGAACTGCCTGGCCTGCAGCTCCTCCTCTGACCCACAGCTCTTCCTCTGACCCACAGCTCCTCCTCTGACCCACAGCTCCTCCTCTGACCCACAGCTCCTCCTCTGACCCACAGCTCCTCCTCTGACCCATGGGACCTACTCTCCTAAGTCAAGGAAGTCCTGAATCTGCAGCTAACTTCTTAGCCGAGACACCGCCCCTTACCATACACCACTGTTGTGGTGTGCCAGGACTTACTGAACGTAGCCGTTCTTCCCTATCCCTATTCCAGACAGCGACAACCGCCCTGGTGCCCCACCTAAGTTCCAACCAGACAGACATTCTTCAAACCTGACTTCAGTCATCTCTGCCCAGGAACTCTTGGTAGGAACTAAAGTGCCAACTCCACCCTGACCCACATCACTGTCCCCACCCACACTTGTCTTGAATTTTATGTCACACTTCATTGACACTTAAGGGTATGCCTTCTCCACTTCTCCAACCCTTTGATCATCTTTAAGAGTAGGGCCTGTCTACTTGACAACTACTCTTATCCTGGGCTGGGTCTGAGTCTCTGAATTTAACCAATACCCTCTGTGATGCACTAAGACTTATGCATAGAATATTAAAGGCAGGGGCTGGAAAGATGGCTCAGCGGTTAAGAGTACTGGCTGCTCTTGCAGAGGACCTGGGTTTGATTCCCAGTACCCACATGGTGGCTAACAACCGGCCATAAATCCAGTTCCGGGGGATTCGATGCCCTCTTCTGACCTCCCAAGCTTCAGGACATGCATTCAGGCAATACAATCGTACATATAAAATAATAATAAAAAATATTGAAGTATCTACAAGTGTATTCCCAATAAACCCCCAAACAAAGCACTGACTGGGACTGAAGCCCCCTGGCAGTGTGGAGGAACATTAGGGCCTCAATGTGAGTACCTGGAGAAGCATTTCTCTTTAGACCAAGCCCCGCTGCAGTCCACCTCCTACCCCGCCCCTCTGATTAACCTTCTGGTCACAGGACAGCCTTCCAGAAAACACTCTCCAGACTTTTGGATCTGTGGAAGCTCGGTTACCAGGGGCAAGTGGGATCCCAGCTGCCCCCGGGGCAGCCCTAATTCAATAAGTGTCAGGCGGCGTTTCTCCCCAAGTGCAAGTACTCTCTCCCGCCCTCACTATACAGTTTTTTAACTATACAGTTTAGTAACTGTAACGAAGCCGAAACTCAATGTAGCAACTTCCACACATTGTGTTACAAGGAAACAAAAATGTTTCCAGTTTTCTTTCCCAGAACGGGTAAAATTAACACTATTAAGGAACTACTGGGGTCAGGCACCTTTAAGGACCGAAAGGCCTGACTCCTCAACCTTAACGTGTACCAAACCAATAACAAACGAACAACAACAAAAATCCACAACACGGATCAAAGTTTAACGTATCCGGGGTCAAAGCCACAGCCCTCGGTCCTCGGATCAGCGGCCCCGCTCGGCCAAGCATCCAAGAGGGCAAGGCGGGGCTCGAACCCGAGTCCCGACGCCGGGGCCTGCGCCCGGCCGCCCGCGTCCCCCAGGCCCGCGGTACCTGCTCATCACCGAGGCCGCGCGCAGTCGCCGA